CATGGTGGTAACCCCGCTTCCAAGAGACAAGTTGCGGTTGTCATCATAATGAACTGATTGTTCCTCTCCGCCAGAGAATTGTTCTGAGGATGATTCGGTAGAGAGTGATCGAATGGGATCTTCAGCTGCTTCATAGCCGTCTCAAACTCTGGGGCTTTGTCGGCATAAGCAATCTTGATCTTCTTCAATCCTTTGAAGTGGTTTATTGCATTGACCACGTCCTTGGTAAACCTCTCTTTCGATGGATAGGCCCATATGACGCCTGTGTACCTGTCACGAATGACGAAGATCTCTCGATCAGTACTGATCCCTTGATCAAGGATGTTCCTCGTATCGACAAAATCAAAGGTAACCAGATCTCCAAAAGCTTTGAGTTTTCTCTTGAATGCTCCTCGATGCGTCTTGAAGTGTTTCATCTTTGCTCTGATGCATGACTCACAGTAGGGATTCTTGTAACGATGTGTGAGTAGATGCTCGATTTTCCTGGCATCTGCTTTCAGAGTTCCTCTTCTCACCATTCTACTTGCACCGTCAACAACATCCACCTCGATGTCATCTGCATCATCATCGTCAGCTTCTGGTTCACTGTCTCCGGCGACATCTGATCCTACCTCATCTTCTTCCCCAGGAGATGCCTTGAACTTCTTATTCCTCTTTCGCCTTTTGACTTTTGGAGGTTCAATCACAGGAAGGTCGTCATCATCACACATGATTCCTTGAGGATCCACATCACAGTTGATGAAAGTCGACTGGTAATCAACTTCATCTTCTCCTAGGGTGAACCTTGCGATCATCTCCGCCCTTGTATCGTCGGTGGGAGTACAGAAATCACTACCCTTGACAATATATGGGATGTTTCCCTCTACTTCTAACATGATTTTCTTGTAGTTCGGGGAAATCATGTACGGGTTGCCGCAGGCTGGCCATATGAATGTGTATCCTTCCTCCATGCATTTCTTTCCAACAGACAGTACTGAAGGAGACTCATCTAGAACGAATGGGGAGTAGGTAGAGTCAAATTCGTCGAAATGAATGTCAGCGACTCCTTTTGTGGATGTCACTCCATTTGCGGTATAGAATGACATTGATTGGTCGCTTTCTCTCACTTCCAGACCTAATTTCTTGGCTCTGCCTTTCGATATCGAATCATATCCACATCCTGTGTCCATGATGAACTTCGTTCTTGACCCTTTGGCTGGAATAGACAATGTCTTTGTGTCTGCATGATCTTTCTTTCCCTCGCATACATGAGGAATGACTTTATGATGAAAAACTAGGCCGTCATCTTCGTCAAAAGACATAGTGACCGCTAGGTCACCCTTTGGTCCAACTGGTATTCGGACCCTCTTGATCTCAGTGTAGGGGACCATCAATATGCCTCTTGCCTCTGCGACCTTTTCTTCAAATCTGATTTGTTCTTTCCTCGTGTAGCAGGTGAGCTCTTTCTCATCGTATCGTTTGATGTCCGGACGTAGAGGTTTCTTTTCCACTACCTTCCATTTGTCCCTGATTGAGTAGATCGCTTCATTCAACATGATCTCACAAGTCTCTTCATCAAAGAATACTTTTGCACCTCCTTCTCTTGCCTTGGCGGATGCAGCAATCCCTTCATCTTCGGATTCGTCCATGAAGAGTTCACCGCCAATGGCTGGGGCTCCAGGCTTCGCCTTAGGTTTCGGTTTGGGTTTTGCCTTGGGCTTTGGCCTATCGTCTCCTGAGTCAGCTGGTGCAGATATCCCTTTCTTAGGAGAGGCTTTTGGGTCATGGTAGAACTTGCAATCCTTCCCTTTGTCACAAGTTCCTCGAATCCACATCCAACATACTGGCTTGTCATTCTTTCCGACAGAAGGTCCTCTGGATGGTGATCTGGGTTTCTTGTGACTGAATGGGCAATCTTTCCCCATAGTGCAGTTACCTTTCACGAAGAATTTGCACGGTATCTTCCTTTTGTCTGTACTCGGACTTCGGCTTCGATCCTTTCCATCACCTTTACCTTTCCCCTTTCCCTTTTTGTTCTTGTCTTCAGGATGCTTCTTGGGATTGGGTTTCGGCTTCACTGCAGCAGCGTCTTCTGGGACAACCTGTTCTTGTTGCCCTTTTGGTTTCTTCTTCGGATCAGCTGGTGCAGCTTTCAGTTTTGGAGCAGGTCCGCCTGGTTTGAGATTCTGAAAGATATTGGCCACATTCTTCACTGCCTTCTCCTTTTCCAGTATCATCCTGTCTTCAGTTTGCCGTTCGATGTGCCTTCTGATCATATCACGTAGATGTTTGTATGTCTTCTTGGCATCATCGTCGTTCATGCTATTGTAGGCGCTGATGTCGTATGCCATGAGGTTTGAGTTCCTGATCTTTCTCCATAGGAGATCCCGAAGAGTTTCGTCGCTCGGGACGTCAACGGGCTTCATTCCTGCCAGAATCTCATCCCAAGTGTGGAAGAACAACGATAAGTTCTTGTCTCCTTGATATTCTAGTTGGTAGAGGTGCATTGAAGTATATAAGACTTCCACATTTGATGTTGTCTTGAAATTCATAAGGATCAGGGCTAGGACCTCTCTTCCCTTTATGAGGCTTGATGTTCTCCCTTTTGCATTGATCCTCGTCCTCAACTTCATAGCTACACCTGAACCATCATCTTTCGCATCCATGACGACCTTGGTAAGAGCTAGGCCGAGTTTGGCATCGATTGAATGGAATCTTTGGTCTCCTGAGTCGACAAACTTGTCCGGATCAGGATCGTCCATGGCTTCTTTGATCCAGTCGATCCAGGGCTCTTGATCTGAATCATTGGCCGCAATGATGATTGATTGAATGAGATTTGCCTTCCATAATCCAATATCATTGATCCTGGGCCATGACGGAACGTTTATCTTTGATTCTTCCTTCCTCGATACTTTCATGACAGTAGAGGTTGCCGGTGCAAGATGAGATGAAGAGGATGCCTCTGTTTCTGAAATCTTGTCCCTCAATGATTTGTTCGCCTCGGATAGCTCAATTGATTTCTCCCTTTCCTCGGCGTACTCATTGTGGGTTTCGGCATACCATTCATACATCTCATCTCGGCTCTCTGTCATTTCATTGTACCCGTCCTTGTAGTGCTTCGCCTCCTCTTTTGCGTTCCGAACCTCATCTTCCTCGGACGCGTGGGTTGGTAACCCGCGGTCTCTGGAATTAGGACGCTTGCTGTACCGAGAGACTATGGGTGCCATTCGTGCTTCTGCTTTTAATTTCGCATTTTCCATAATGACATTCTTTGTCTCCTTCTGGCTTTCCAATAGTGCATCCTCCAGTTCTCTGATCTTCTGTTGAATTTCTGCACCATCATCGCCGAACATAGGAGCTCTCATCATATTCTCTCTTTTCAGCTGTGCGTTGGCTTCGGATAGAGCGAGGTTGACGTCTTTCAATTGTTGTCGTTCACGGATGGAACTTTCTAGGACTTCGTTGTTGAATATTTCTCCTTTTGCGATAACCTCTTTTGCGACGTTTGCTTCGTATTCGTGGTGGCTCGCCTTCGCATCTGCCATTTCTTTAGCAGAGACTTCAGTCTGGCATATAAACATCTCCATCCTCATGCCCACTTCCATCTCTCCCATCTCCGCTTTCGCGTTGAGTTCAGCTCCACGTGCCATAGCTAGTTGACCTCGTATATGATCAATAACCATAGCTTCCTGATTGCTCTGATCTTGAGATGAGTGAACACTGTGTTGAAGACGTCTTTCCCTGACCTCACTGTTCCATTGTTCTTCTCTCTGGTGTTGGATCACCTCGTGCACGTTGACATTCTCATCCTGTAGCGCAATCATTCTAGCTTGTATCTGGTCAGCTATTCCAACGAAGGCTGTGTTCTCATCCTGAATGGCTTTTGATCTTCTATTGATCGCCAATGAAGATTCATTCTGTTCTTGGATGTGTCCAATTGCTGCTTGAAGCTCTTGGGACATTCTGTCCTTCGTTGCTTTCACAGATTCAAGTTCTGAATGTTCTTGATGAGTTTCTTGTGCAAGCTCTTGATATCTCATGTAGATATGTTCAGCTGTCGATTCCGCCAAGCGTAGCTTGTGTTCGAGCTCTTCAATTCTTATTGTCGCTCCTTCATCCTCCTGTGTCATCTCCTGTAGATGTTCCTGCATCTTCCTGTTGTAGTCAGACATTTGCCTGAACTCCACTTCAGCCTCGTGGTGTAGTCGTGAGTATCCGGCTTGGATGCATTCATATTCTTGATGAAGAAAATTGTATGCGTTTCTCGCCGATCTCAATTCTTCACCCAGCTGAATCTCTCTTCTTTGCTCTTTTGTTCCTCTATCATCGTCACGTCTCTTCTCTATACTCCTTCTTGGGGATCTCGCGGTAGACGTTATAGGCGATGTAGATCTTGTTGTAGCTCTCATCGATCTTCTCGGTCCTACGGGTGCAAGATCGGTCAGATTCCGAGCCGGTGGCACGGATCTGTCCGAGATTTGTGATCCAGTAGGCATAGTGATAACGTCAGCATTTGCTGATGAATCAGTACCCATTGTAGAGTCTGGTGACGAAATGGTGTTGGGACCACCAGGAGCAGCGAATGAATAGGGTTCGCTTCCATTTCCTCCTGAGCTTGACATTGCAGGTTTCTGTAATGACTAGTCTTGTTCTTGGTCTCGTGTAGCTCGTACGGCTATAAAGAGCGCGTACGGCTGATAACCTGCGAGTGGATCTTAATCAGCGTAGTTTGAAGCTATCACTGACGGTCCATAAGCGGCGTAGCGTCGGAACGGAAACCGCACCTTTTCTAGTCGCTTGATCCTTGAGCCAAAGTACATATGGTATGTATATATATATATATATGTACATGTTGCACTGTACATGTCGCTGCACTTCCATTCGCATCAATTATATATATATATAATCCTCCTGCTCTAAACAACTTCTGCAAACCGCCTTTGCAACCCGCTTTCGTGATGCAGAGGGCATGGCAAAGCTTGGACGCCAAGCTTGGAGAATGCTCAACACCTCAACCATGCCTGCATCCTCTGGCCACCAGTCTTGCTTTTTGGAATTCCAAGCGCCTGCCAAGGATGCTGATTGGACCCGAGTTGGGCCACACTTGAACACAAGAAGGAAAAGGGCCAACAGTGTAGTGTGTAGTGTAGAACTGTAGAAGGCGCTTCAGTTACTTCCAGAACTCCATTTCAGCCAAACCACCCACAACCACCAGAACCGATCTGCTTCCACTAACCCCCCAACATTGCGCTCCCCCGAATGCTCCCCCCAACCAACCATTACGGAAGCGCACCGGTCTGCTCATAGCGCCATGAGCGACTCGTCCACCCTGGCAACGAGCGGAGAATTGAAAAGCAATCATACGGAAAACAATTGAACAGTTGTTGTTTCATATGTTTGCACGATGAGTATATGGCAATATGAGACACATTGGAGCACCCGACCTGCCTCCGCCTCCTCCATGCTCTGAAGATGACCACGTCTCACCTGCATCAGCTCCATGCTCTGAAGATGACCACTTCTCACCTTCATGCGCTCCATGCTCTGAAGATGACCACTTCTCACCTGCATGTTCCGAAGAGGACCACGCTTTCTTTGTGGCGTGCTCAGCTGGTTGATCTGAAGACCACTTTGGGGCATCATGACTCTGCTCGGTCCACTTCTTCCGCCACCTCTTGCAGCTCAGCTGCTCGTACATCTCCTGAGCCAATCGGGCCGGCACCTCACTGTAGATCATCCATCTGCACTAGGTCCAGGTGAACAGCAGTGAACAGCACCTCTTTTAGACTTGTGGACTTGTGTCTGGACTTTCTGTATGTAATGCAGCTTGTATGACAGCCCCTTTCAACTCACAGGTCCCCGTCAGTCCCTGTGGCGGAAACAGGTCACGTGGGCGAGACCTCTCCGCGCTGAGGCGGTGCATGTTCAGAGGATCATGTGACATTCCCAAAGGGGTTCAGAACCAGCACCCCTGTTTGAAGACCATGGACTCTGAAACGGGTCAATGCTTAAAAGGGGTGCACGTTTAATTTGGATGTTTTTTCATGTTTTTCAGATTTTTTCAAAAACATTGGAATAGAGCAGGTTTCTTATTAGCACCTAGCTAATTACAGCAATTTCGTGTCCTTAGCCGAGACACAGGTGCCGTAGCTGCTGGCCAAATACATTGGAATAGTAATAGTGCAGGTTTTATATTTAGTAATTGCTAGCTGATTAGACTAATTTGGGAGATGTCGTAGCTGGCAAAATACATTGGAATAGTGTAGGTGTCAGAGAAAGTCTTACGTTAGCAGAGAAACAGTAAAGAGAAAGAGAACCAGCACAGGAGGCATATATGATTGGTTAGAAGTTTATGCCCCGGGGAGTTCACCTTAAAATATTGATTTCGTGGCAGGCGCGCGTGTCGGAGATGAAGTGCAGACTTCGTGGCGCGGGGGG